TTTCTTTGTCTATTCGCTCTTCCTTTTATTCTTATCTTTATTATTATCCGACTTCCTCCTTCCTTATCTTTGCCATTTGTTTCTCCATCGACTCCCTCTTTCCCTTTATTATCAATTTTATTCTTATCCCCCATTCCTCCTTTCTCATCACACTCCTCGTCTATCATGTCTTTAATTTCTGCCTTTGTATCCTTCTTGTTTTAAACCATTCTGAGGTAATTTTCCACCGACCTTGACTGAGATAAGAACACATTTACTCGGATGATAAGATTCGCTAATCATGACTTTTACTCTCATTTATTCTTTCTTTTTATCTGGTCGTTTATTGTCCGGTTTATATATTCTTTAAAAAAAAAAAATAAATAAAAAAAAAAAATAAAAAAATAAACATTTTTTTCTTCTTTGTATTTTATATATATCTTTTCATACATTTTGTTATTTCTTCGAATCCGTGCAACAGGTTACGAGGAATCTTAGACTGCAGACTTAAATTACCGACAAGAGATAAAAAGAAAGGAAGACTAATCTATATTTATCCGTTGCCATGCGTTCTGTATGCTTGCTTGTCTTCCTGTCACTATGTATGTGACTATATAAAGATAGATAGACAAATAGATCAAAAATGGATAGATAGATTGATACTGATTTATTGATGTGTGTTTGTATATGTTCTTTAGTCTCATAGATACGTAGCCATTTTCCATAAGGTCAGTTAAAGAAAATGTTTAATATGAATCGCAGTCATAAAACGATTCTTTGTGTGGCGGTCGTAAGAAGTGAAAGGAAATATTCATAGTCAGTGTGATATCTCGCTCCCCAAGTTACGTTAAGCTTCAGAATAACGTAGTTATTTTACAGCGCAATAAACCGTATCTCGCTGGAAGGAGAAATGGAGGAGGAGGAGGAGGAGGAGGAAAAGGAAGAGAGGAGAAGGAGGAGGAGAGGAGATGAGGAGGAGGAGTAGGAGGAGGAGAGGAGAAGGAGGAGGAGGAGAGGAGAAGAAGGAGGAGGAGAGGGGGAGGAGGAGGAGAGGGGGAGGAGGAGGAGGAGGAGGAGGAGGAGAGGGGAAGGAGGAGGAGGAGGAGGAGGAGGGGAGGAGGAGAGGAGGAATAGGAGGGGAGAAGGAGAGGAGGAGGAGGAGAGGAGGAAGAGGAGGGGAGGAGGAGGAGAGGAGGAAAAGGAGGGGAATAGGAGGAGGAGGGGGAGGAGGATAAGGAGGAGGATAGAATGTAAAGAAGAATTAGAGGCAGAAGAAGTAGAGGGAACATAAAAGAGGGGGAGAGGCAATGTAAAGGAAGGGAAGAAGGAAGAGGGAATGTAAAGGAGGAGGAAGAGAGAGTGCAAAGGACGAGGACCAAGAGGAAGAGCGGGTATAAGAGAGGAAGAAGAAGAGGAGGGAGAGTAAAGGAGGAGGAGGAGGAGAAGGAGGAAAAGTGGGAGTAAAGAGGAACGGGAAGAGTTTGGGAATTAAGGGAAGGTGGATGAGGAAGGAAGAGGAGGGAAAACACGGGAGGTGGAGCGAAAGTAGGAAAAGTGAAGGGAAGAAGAGAAGGGGGAGAAGTGAGGGAGAAAGAGAAGGGAAGAGAACTGTGGGAGAAGAGGAGGCAGAAGTAAAGGGAAAGAGAAGGAGGAAGAGAAAGGAGGAGAAAGGAGGAAGAAGAAATGAGGAAGAAACGGGATTGAAGAAAGGGTTGAATAACTCGGGAGAAGAAGGGAGAAACGAAGAGAAGAATAAATAATGGGATGAAGATGAAGAAGAGCAAGAGCAAAAATGAAGAAGAGGGAATTTAGATATGAAGAAGGAGTAAAAGAGGGGAAGCGAGGAGGCGAGAATGGGAAGAAGAAAGACACGGAAATAACAGATGAAGGAAAGATAGAAGAAACAGAGAGGAAAGAGGGAAACGAAGAAAAACGAGCTGGAAACGGAAGTAGGAAGATGAGTAGGTGGATAAGGAGCGAAATATTAGAAGGGGAGAAAGAAAGAAAGCAATAACGAAGAGAGAGAATGAGAGAGAGAGAGAGAGAGAGAGAGAGAGAGAGAGAGAGAGAGAGAGAGAGAGAGAAGGGAGGAAGAGGAGTAGGTGAACAAGGAGCGGATTATAAGAAGGGGAAGAAAGAAAGAGGAAGAATATAGTGGAAAGAGAGAGAGAGAGGGGGGGGGGAGAGAAAGTGGTGAAGCAAGAACAGCCAAAGAGAAGAGGGAGGAGTAGAAGAGTAAAAAGGGAAAAAGGAATAAGAGAGAAGAAAGAAGATAATGAGAAGCAAGAGAGTGGAAAAAGAGAAGAGGGAAAATGAGAAAGAAAGAAGAAGAAAGAGAAAATTAATAAGAGAGGAGTTAAAAGAGTAAACGAGCAAGATAAGTGAAGGAAAAGGAACGAAGGAGAGAAAGAGAAGGAAAATGAAAATCAAAGTAAAAAGGAAACGAAAGAAAAGAGAAGAAAGAGGAAGAGGTGAGAAAGCTGAGTAAGAGGAGGAGGAGGAGGCGGATCTGCAGTTTCGTCCACCGGTAACTGTCGGTAAATTAAGATCAAGGAAAGTCTGCAAAAGACGTAAATGTTTCTTCGCTTCTGCAGTTACTCGAATCTCCTTTGCGGATGCCGGCGGAAAGCGTCGTATTTTGGGTAGTTTCGTGCG